ATTCATTCATTTTTATTCGTTTCATGTTTTTATTCTTATTTATTCTTGTTTTATTCTCATTTATTCTTATTTGTCTTTTTATTCGTTCCGTCTTTCATTCTTATATTCGATTTGTCTTTTTTATTCGTTTCGTCTTTTTACTCTTATCTATTATTATTTTATTCTTATTTATTCGTATTATCTTTTATTCGTTTATTTTCGTCTCGTTTATTGTGTCTTATTTATTCGTGTTTTTTTTCTCAAATGTTTTCTTTTATTTCCTCTTTTGCTTTTCGTAGTATTTGGTTTTTATTTTTTGTGTGTTTTCTCTTTTCTTTTGTTTGTTGTGGGATTCGATGCTTTGGTATATATGTTTTTATTTGTATTTTTTTCAAATGTCTTTTCTTTTCTTTTCCTTGCTTCACTAGCATTTGATTTTTTATTGTATTTTTTATGTTATCTTTTCTTTTCTTTTGTTTGTTTCGTGGGATTCGATGCTTTAAGTATATATGTTTTTTTTCCTATTCGTATTTTTTCAAATGTTATCTTCTCTTTTCTTTTCTCTTTTGCTTTTTTAAATATTTTGTGTCTTATCTTCTCTTTTCTCTTATATGTTTTTATGGGATTCGATGCTTTGGTATTTATGTTTTTTTATTCGTATCTTTTTCAAACGTTATCTTTTCTTTTCTCTTTTGCTTTTCACTAACATTCGATTTTTATTTATCTATTTGTTTATCTTCTCTTTTCTCTTATTTGTTTTTATGGGATTGGATGCTTTGGTATATAAGTATGTTTTCTAAATGGAGTACGATCGAAAAGAATCGAGCGTCTTTTGTTTTGTTTTCGAACCTCTATGATGTTTTCCCGCCTTTTTTGATTACGCGTATAAGTGACGTAAACAGAATCCGATGTTCTTTTGTTTCCATTGTTCGTCATCATCATTATCCGCAAGGAAATTATTATTTTTTGACCTTGATATTCAAAAGATGTTAAAAAGCGAAAAAAATACATGTCCTCCGCTGCTTGATTACGCATTATATAATACGCATTATACAATACGTATTATATAAGCAACGTAAACAAAATCCAGTGCATTTTTTACATTAATTTCCCCAAATCATTATCAACATTTTTTTTCACCCTTGAGAAGTAAAAGAATTTCTTGTTTAAAAGCGAAAAGAAAGAAAGAAAGAAAGAAAAAAAAAATGTCTGGCGAGGTGACACTTGATAAGTTTGACGGCAGGATATTGGCCGGTAAATTGTCGGTTTTCAGGGCGGTCCCTCACACCTCGGGGCCCTGGGGGAGGGGAGGGAGGGAAGGAGGGGAGGAGATGAGAGGGGAAGCGGAGAGGAGGGAGAGAGGAAAGAGGTGGGAAGGGAGGAAGGGAGGAGGAGGAGAGAGGGAAGAGAGGAGGGAGGGAGAGGGAAGGAAGAGAGGGAAGGGAGGAGGAGGGAAGGCGAGGGATAGGAAGGGAGTGAGAGGGAAGGTAGGGAGGAAGGGAGGGAGGGAGGAGGAAGGAGAGAGGAAGGGAGGGAAGGAGGGGAGGAGAGGGACGGAAGGAGACAAGCGGAAGGGGGGAGGAGAGAGAAGGAGGAGGGGAG